GTGGGCGTGGGGGTGGGGGTTGGCCCAGGCAGGGAAGGGGGTGTTTGTTAGGAAGTTTTGGAAGTTGAATTCAATAACCAAAATAGATGCGGTTGTATTAATCTGCTCAAGTTCTTCAGATTGACTTGGATGTCCAAATTTACCCAATTCTTGATAGAAGGTCCAAACTGAACCACGTTTCTTACACTGAATCAGTGATGCAAATTGGATCAGGGCTAAACTGCATTCCTTGTCTTTGTGTGTGTCTGGGTCTGGGGCAGGGAAAGATGGAAATGGGAGGAAAGAGATTTCCCATTAGACTCTATCAAGTTCTGCGGGACAGCTTGCAAGCTAGGACCGAACGAAGTTCTGTAGACCTTAGGATTATGGTCTTCAAGTTCCAGAATTACCTGTTCCATTTAAAAGGACCCCCTCCCCCACCCTGTTTTCTTTTAACTTTCTCCTCTCTAAATATATGCCACCATTCTTCTATTGACAAAAAGTAAAATGCCATGATTAGGAACAACACTACAGAGGCGGATAAACCTTAGCCGTAGATCCCGGTAGATTCCATTACTGGTTCAGCAGAGCAAATTTATCTAGCTGATCTCTGCACATTTCCTGGCCATCACACAGCCTGCATTTGCCTAGTAAACAATAACCCCCAGTTCTCATTTGGGAGGGGTTACCTGCACATTCTCTTTCCCAAAGGCTGTACTTCTCAAGTAGCAAGACTTTTCCCTAAACTCTCACTCTATCAAATCAGGAAAGAATGTGAAGCTACTTCTCTGAGGTTTATATCTGAAGGAATCATTTGCAGCCCTTTTAATGAAGTTATAGCCAGATGGTACTTCACTGATCTACATGAATGAGTCTCCTAGAATTTGTGCATATCGTCTTCCTGTTGCTGGGGATAGCCCTTAAGCCATCTATTTATCATCACGTCCATTAATTCACTGACCTTACCTAACGTATCCAGCAACTTCAATTCTAACCGTCTAAACCATCCATTAAATCAAAGCCATCATAATGAAGCTGTGACCATAAACCCCTTTTTGCAAACTACATTAGTTAGACCTAAAAGCAGAAAGATGGCATTAAAAAGAGGAATACATCAACTTCCCTTTACTTGGTCTGATCCGGTTATATAGGACATAGTCCCAGGTGCCCTGTTAGGTGAAAATTCTGTAAGTTGTAATCCAGCACTTATATATTGCACAAAACTGATGCCGTCAAACCTTCAGACGATAAATCAAAACTACACAACTAGACATGGAAAATATCACAACTTCTCTTTTGCTCGAGCTGCTTTAAAGGCCGCTTCACTATCTAATATATGACATATTGCTCAGCAGTTCTAAGTTCCCCCAGGTGATAAATTCACTCCTGTTTCTTGGTCCCAGTCTTTTGCCTTCTAATGGACTTCTATTACGACTGTTTTACAGCTGGCAGAGGTAATACCACTTCATGCTCCACCATCAGTCCAACATGGGCCTCCGTCATTCACTGACCCAGACTTAAGGAAACATCATTTGTTTTATCCCAAACCAGAGCATGGAGACCCCAGCCATGTAGTCCTGGAGCCTAAGTGCCAAGAGGATGAAAGCAAATTCAGCCCTGTAAGCATTCGTTCAACCTTTGCAGATGAGGATCCAGAAGAAAAACAAAAGGCTGAAATGAAACACAAGGGTGAGGAAAAGGAACATATTCTAATTTGCTAGGACACATTGATTATGTACATATATCGGGTGGGTGAGTAGATATGTGTATATATATTTATAAGTAGGAAATGTCCAAATTAACATTAAATGGTAGCAGGTGGGATGTGGCTGGCTGTAGACTGCAGGTTTGCATAATGCTGAAAGTCTGGTAATGTTTTAACTTTATGTTACTTTCTGGCAATGATTCTTAGCTCTATTTAAGTCTCTCCTGCTGCTAGCAGGAGTTCACATCTAAATGTGGGGAGTGAAAGGTGTAATGTTTCTTTCCTGTAGTTTCACAGCATTCACGGCAGGTGTGACCCTGAGAAAGCAGCTTAGAACATTTTGCTCATGGGAAACCAGGTACGATGCTTCCAAGTTAAAGAACAGTCAGGTAGATCAGCTCAGAGTCAGAGATGTTCCTTGTGAAGCACTTTGTCTCCATCAGCAGGATGAACGATATTTCTGTCTTAGCCACTTCAAAGTGTCAGGGAAGGCAACTGATTGTCACTATGGAAGATCTGATCTATAGATGAAGTGGGATCCTGCCTTCATAGCTTTCCTTGGAGGATATATTATGGGGTATCAAGATGGGGAATGAGATGGTCTCTGCAACAGAAGATTAGAGCAGGTGGAAAAATGGTATCTCGATCTTCTCCATCTGGCCACCTCACTTCCTTTTGGGTAGAAGGGATTCTTTCATGGAAGAGAAGGTGTGGTGATTTCCCCAGTGCTTGAATCAAGAGAAAACTGGAACATTTCAGGATGGGGGGAGCCTACATCTGTTGGAAGAAGGTGGGGGAATTACTATGTTCATTTGCTTCTGCCTGGGAACTCACAGCATAGAGGTTTTACTTTCCATTTTCACTGATCCTTCTTCAAGTTTCCTAACCTCATCTAGGAGGTCCAGGAGGTGTGTGTGTGTGCGCGCGTGTGTGTGTTCGTTCAAGGCCACACTTTGTTTTTGCAATTGACAAACTGTCTTTTCCTTCTTTTCTTCCCAGTCAGCTTCCTAATAGCATGACATCTGGAAGTTGGCTAGAAAAAGAAAAGGATCGCTGTATAAAAGTGAGGTGAGATGTGGGAGGTGGACCTGTCTCTCCAAAGGACTGGACCTGGGCATGAGACAGTGCAGGGGGAATAATCTCCTCCAGTGCTAAGGCTGCAGAACGGACATAGGACAAGCAATACAGAGAACGCCAACTGGATTTACCATCTGAGCACAAAGCTCAAACACAATGGCTGAGAGATAAACAGCCCCTATGAATATTCCCATGGAATAGGGGTATCCAAAAAGTCAAGATGCAATGCAGGTGAAAAGGGGGCAGGGCTCTGATCATGTGGTTTTGACCAACATCTTGATTTTTTTAACTCTCCTGTGGAAGCCTCTGCTGCAGATGTGATAGATTAAGATAGAAAGAAAATGTGGCTTTCGTGACTGCATCACAGTTGATGCCATTACATTCCTCTCCCTTCCCCTCTTTTTCTCTCTACCAATGTGAAGGGACAAGGCAAATTTCTTTATTATTGCACATTTGATATTTTTGAGATAGTTTGAGATAGCTTTGCTGGAGCTGGATAGCCTGTAGATCAGTTTCCGAACATTTTTTTTTTTTTTTTTTGCATTAGCTCAATCTTTGCCAAACTGGTATCCTCTAAGTTGCTGACCTTTAAGCCCCATCAGTGCTCTTTTAGCATGGCCAACACCAGGATGGGTGTTCCAATCCAGCAACGTCTAGAAGTGGGCCATGTTCTCCACCTCGGGTCTCAGATGAAGCTGGGTAGTTTAATAGAGAATATTGGGTAAAGACTAGGTAATGGGCTCAACTCCTCATTTACCATGAATATCATTTAGAATCTTGGTCTTATTACTTTCTTTCATCTAGCTATTGTGTAGAGCGGTGACTAGTAATACAATGGGTTAATCTCGCCCTTATATTCTGTAATTTGCTCATAGAGAGAAGAATGGGATAAAAATACAGAACCATTCCCAAAGGATGAACAATAATAAGGAAACCTCACTGAGACAATCATAGAGAGATAGAGAGATAGACAGAGACTGGCGGGGGGGGGGGGGGGGGGGGGGGGGGGGATACCAGCCTCATATTTCCAGCTTTGATTTCACAACCACCAGTTAAATGTCAGAAGCATAATAGAATAGCAGCTGTTCTATGATGACTTGTCTATGGACATCTTCTATTTGGTCCCCACTTAATGGATGTGTTCCATTTAAAAAAGGAAGTACTATTTGGTAGACTCTAACTTTCTGAACTCTTGATGAGATATTTGGCTTTTGCTATCTAGAACCCATTTTTTTTATTGGTTAAAGCTGTGAGATAGTGCAGCCCTGCTCTTACATTCTATAAATGTGCTGAAGACCCCTTGCTCCTTCAGCCTGTCTCAACTGGGGTTCCATGAAAGGTCTCCAGAGTTTCTAGAATTCTTCCCAAGACCTCTCTTGACACATCTTCCCTCAATCTGAAACCCTTCAGATGTACTGAACTCCTGACAGAAACCAAACATCATTACAGACCAGAACTATGACAATAACAACAGGCTCATTTGCAGCTGATACTGTATATTTGTCTAAGTCTTCCCTTCACACGTGAGACAGTGGTCCAGGAAGAAAAACATAAGAGGGTTGCCTGCTTGTTTGACAAGGTTTACAGCAACATTTCTTGGGTTGTCCAACAATCCCTGTAAGACAGAATGGGAAAAAGAGAGACTAAACTTAATTGAAATAATGTCATATGCAATATGTTGATGAAGATTCTCAGTCATCCAGGTGGAATTATCTGGAGGTTGAGTCATGGCAACTGTACTTCTTTTCTTTTTGGTTAGATACATTTCGCTGCTTGTCCAAGCAGCTTCTTCAGTCTAGAAAGTTGGTTTGGGGGACCCCATAAATGTCTTCCAGGGTCTCTGTGTTTCTCACTAACATGATGGGCTTGTTGAAGGGACAATAGGAGATGTGATTAGTAGAGTCTCAGATGAGTGTCCTTTTTCTTTTAGATGAAGATAAATGGCTGATTCTGGTCCTGTGTTGGTGCTCCTTCTGTGCTGGGTCATCCTCTTGTGTTTCTCCAATGTAGAGCTCTGAACACTCCTCACCACACTGCAGTGCAGGGAAGAGTGTTCAGAGCTCTACATTGGAGAAACCAAACAGCCTTTATACAAGAGGATGGCCTAGCACAGGAGGAGCAACAACACAGGACCAGAATCAGCTGTTTACCTTCATCTAAAGGAAACTCATCTGAGGACAATAGTGTTCACATTTTGGATAGAGGAGATAGGTGGTTTGAGAGAGGAGTGAAGGAATCCATTTATGCCAAAGTAGAAAATCCTTCCCTCAATAGAGGCAGAGGCCTCAGACACAACTTGTCTCCCATTTTTCATGCTGCCCTTTCATCAGTCCACAGGAAGATTAAGACTACTTCACAAGTTCACCAGGGAGGCAGCACTTAATGACCCACTTGGAATGAGTGAGGGATTAGGAGCAAGACATCCACATCCCAAAGACTCTACTAATCACATCTCCGATTGTCCCTTCAATGAGCCCATCATGTCAATGAGAAACTGGAAGACATTTATGGGGTCCCCCCTAACCAACTTTCTAGACTGAAGAAGCTGCTTGGACAAGCAGTGAAACATATCTAACCAAAAAGAAAAGAAGTCCAGTTGCCATGACTCAACCTCCAGATAATGTCATATGCACAAATCTTTACCAACTGATAGCTTTCAAAGATGCTCCTAGGGGAAAAAAGTGAGGTCCAGCAAAGTCACTAATCAAGGACATGTGTCCCCAACCTCTTATCAGGTATTTGGAGGGCTACAGGTTACCTATCCTGCCACAGGGTTGAGTTCTTGCCTTGACCAAAAATCCCAGAAAGTCCAAAGAAACAAACCAGCTAAACTGACCAAAAGGATTAGCTTAGGCTGCCACCATGATCATTTCACCTGGGATCTAGTGAATATTTACACCAGCATTTATTTCCAATCTTATCATTCTGAGAGCAGAAGAGCATCCAGGTTGGCAACTGGAGTTTGCTCCAGGGGTGAAACAACACTCTTGGATCAGTGAAAATTGAAAGCCTTTTTGCTGGGTGGTGGTTCATCATACTATACAAACCCAGAACATGGTTAATTCAGTAACCAGTAAACATGTTGCATGAACCCAACCAGTATGGCTGAAAGTGCATAGACTTTGGGGATTATTTTTTCCTGAGACAGGGTGTACAGTAGGAATTAGATCCAGTCCTCTAGATTATATAATTGTTATGCATCCTCCTCCTCCTCCTTTGTATTTATACCCCATTTTTCCTCTAGAAAATCAAGGCAGGATACATAATATTCCTCTTCCAATTTTATCTTCTCAGTAAACCTGTAGGACAGGTTGGACTGAGAGGGAAAACTTCATCCAGGGTTAACTAAGGAAATTCATAAATGAATGGGGACTTCAACCCAGGATGCCCCAAGTACTAGTCTAGCATTGCAGCCATTCCCTTAATTCTTTGGCCATGTTGGAGTGGGATAATAGACTAAAACATTCAGACAACCTCAACCTGGGCAAAGCTAGACTAAACTGTATGAACTATCAAACAAGAAATCAACATGGAGACTGTGACCATGAACATGTGGGTTGTATCTACCATTTTTCAGTGTAAGACATTAATCACCCTCAAAGGAAAGTTGTCCTTAGGTGCCCTTAGTTCAGTTTGGGTTTCTATCAGCTGACATCTAACATAACATGGATAACAGTATTGCCAGATAGCACTCATCTGCAGAATAGGGCTGAGGATGGGACAGGACATCTCCTTTCTGCTATTCATTAAAGCAGACCCTCTTTTTCCTTGGTTTTACACCAAGCAGAAAAAAATATTCAGTTGTTTTAGGGAGTCGATTCATTGAAAGTATTGCCTCTCTTAAAGCAGTTGTATCTTTTCCCCAGACTTGCTTGGAAGCTTGAAAAAAAGAGGGGCTACAGTAACAATTAGAAGAGAGAGGTTCTGTGTCCACGTGAAGTCCAAATGGTTACTTCAAATGATTCTCAAAGTGTACAAAGTTCTAACTCCAGAAGATGTGTTCATTTATCCTTATGAAAACTAACAGGTAAACATACTTCTGTCCATCCCAGATGAGTTTTTCTTCAATCTGCAAAAGCATTTTCTTTTCATTCTTGGCCCTAAGGAATAATAAAGAAAAAGGTACCAATAAATGAGGAGGAGGAGGAGGAGGAGGAGGAGAAGGAGAAGGAGAAGGAGAAGGAGAAGGAGAAGGAGAAGGAGAAGGAGAAGGAGAAGGAGA